TTGAGACAGAGTCTCAAGCTGTCGCCCTGGGTAGAGTGAGGTGGCGTCATAGCTCACAGCAACCTCAAACTCTTGGGCTTAAGCAATTCTCTTGCCTCAGCCTCCCAAGTAGCTGGGACTACAGGCGCCCACCACAATGCCCGGCTATTTTGTTGTTGTTGTCATTATTGTTTGGCAGACCCAGGCTGGGTTTGAACCCACCAGTTCCGGTGTATGTGGCTGGCACCCTAGCCTCTGAGCTATAGGCACTGACCCAGGAGTAAACTTCTTGGTGGCAGAGACCATCATATTCAGTCCTGCACCCACCCCTGGGATGGAGTGCTGTCGTATCTGGCAAATAAAAGGCACACTCTATTTCCCAAATGCATAAGAGCACACGAGTGCTTTCATCTTGTCCATCACTCTGGAGTCTCAAGACTGCCCAGAGATTGGACAGCACATGAGTATTAGCCTACATCCGCGTCGCACAAGGGAACAGACCGAAGAGCCTAAACCCTAACTATTTACTAGAGAGGGAGGCAGTTTGCTGCTATCACAGGTTGCCTGTGTTACCAAAAACAGAAAGAGAGAAGGAAACTGACTATGCTTCACACCTGAACACCGTGTGCTCAGAGCAGTTGGAGGGGTGGGCATTACTGTGCCAGCTTTCCAGACAGGAAGCTAAGGCCTGAGAGTGAGGCGCCTGCATGAGCTGCACAGAATCCAGACTGGCCCATGAGAAGCCAGTGCCCCCTCCATTTGTCCTGGACCACGTCACTTGGGCTCCTGCTCCTCCACTCACAGGCAACTGGTCAGCCAATCTCCTTTCCTGCCTGTGTGGGCGGCCACCCCCCCCCCCCACACTGTCCAGAGCCAGAGTTTCAAAGCCTTTTGCTTTGTGAATCACAAACCCTATGAATACTGTTTCCAGAAACATGCCTAAAGCACAACCACTCCAAGTTTTGGAGGGTTCCTGGTCTCCCCATTCCCCCAGGCCTCTGTGTCCCAGATAAGGACTCTGCTCTCAGAAGAGCTTTCTCTCCTCCTCTCCAAGGTCCCGGAAGGGGGTCTTCGCTCTGTGCACAGCCCCAGCATCCCCCAGCATGCACTGCTGTTTCAGATACCTCCACCATGAAGTAGCTGTTCCCTCGGGTTCCGTAGGTAAGTGCTGGCTTCTTCCGGCTGAGCCACAGATTATCTGAAATTACCACGTAGTCCACATTAGAGAAGAATCGGTTCTTTTCTTTTTCAACAAGTTCTTCCAGGGCAATGGAACCAGCCTCTTCCATCCCTTCAAGGATGAATTTGACATTCACAGGGAGATCCTGAATTAATGGAACAACAACAACAACAACAACAAAAATTACACAACTTGCTCATGCACATTTTAAGATCCAGGATTTATTTGTACATAACATAAATACGTTAAATATTATTTACACCCAGTGTGTGGATTTGTTTACATTCCCAACAGTTCTGCTTACAACAATGGAGTTTTAGCTGAGCCTGCAAAGGAGAATTCAGGGTCACACCCTGCACCTGCCCATCAATTTGATGTTATGATAAAGAGCTGGGGGGAAGGAATCCCTACAGGAAAGGCAAGTTTCCCCCTCAGAACCTACTGAGCTGCTACACACCCAGGCATTTCCCTCCTCCTCCCCAAAAGGAATTTGTCAAGAAAGGTTACTCGGTTACAAATCGCTTTTCTGTCCTCGTAATTTTGAGCATGTTGAAGGAGAACTCTTCCTTTGAAAGATTGCTTTAAGCCTCGGGATAACTTTTACTTCAAGTATCTGTTATTTTTCAGCAATGATTTCAATCTGCCTTTTAACTTGTTCAAAGGCTTTGATCTTGCAGCAAAATGGGACTTGAGTGTTTCTCTAGTTAATATTAGGGCTTGAAATAGCTCCTTTAAAATTTTTACAACATGCCTCTTTTTCCATTTGGTTTTGATCTTTTGTATCTATAATTTATAACTTTGTATCTTCCAGAGCTACATAAAGAGGAGAGGTCCAAGCATTTTCAAGAGCACAGCGCACAGGTGGGAGAGGTCGAGGAGTGACCAGATGCAGACAAATGGAACAGCATAGACTCGATCAGCTCTGAGGAGCGGCTTGACTCACTGCAGATTAACAAATGCAAAATGAGCACAGAAGTATGTATTAGAAAACAATTGCTGTAATAATTAAAATTAGAAGCCGGTCACCCAGTTGATAGGGGTACTTGGGGATTATGATTTGTTCAAATTACTTGCATGTCTGTGTCTTAGGAAGTTGGGCTAAAGTTCTGAAAACTTAATATTCAGAAGTTCTGTATTAACACTTACCTAGCAAACAATTGGTGAGAATTGGGAAATCTTGAGAATTCCCTGAGAACTCATTTAATAAAATATAAACCAATAGCTACAAAGTGTCAGAGGATGACTGTACGAGCAGCCAGGTGTGCACTTCGCTGTCCCCTGTTCCTCCACCCCCAAGGGACCCAGGTAGCCAAGGCACCTCTGGGCAGCTCATTTCTCTATGAAACACAGATATGAGGAAAATAATCCAGTGTGTGCCAAGTGCTCTCCAGGCAAGACAGGGAGAAAGGGAAGAATAACTGACCTTCGGGAGGGACCTGAGGCCACGAGTGCCTTTGTGATATTTCATTTAATCTCAACAAACTTTTGAGGTAGAAATTATCATTCCTAGTTCACAGATGAGGAACACAAGGCTCACGTTAACTGATTTGTCCAAGGGCAGTAAGCGTTTCTTACGTTGTGTTTGTGATTATGTCATCAGAGTTTAAATTAAAATGCAAAGCAGATTTTGGACTTTATGTGGGAATTAACTTATAAATGAATGCTCTGCACTGCTGAAAGAAAGAAGGAAGGAAGGAAAGAAGGAAGGAAAGAAGGAAGGAAACAGAAAAAGGAAGGAAAAGGAGGGAGAAAGGAAGGGAAGAGGGCAGTGCCTGTGGCTCAAAGGAGTAGGGCACCAGCCCCATATGCTGGAGGTGGAGGGTTCGAATGCAGCCCCAGCTCAAAACGGCAAAAAAAAAAAAAAAAAAAAAAAGGAAGAAAGGATAGAAGAAAGAGTAGGGAGAGAGAAGGAAATCAAAGCCACCTTGAATGTTTGGGGCTTATGTGGTGCAAGTGTCATGAGAAAGATTACCCTGGAGCAGCGAGTGGATCCACCCAGCAATCCAGCTGGATTTCTGGCACCTGCCCTTCTCAGTGAGATGAATGAGTTAGTTCAGAGCAGTTAACTTCCCTCTCATCTGCTCATGTCTCAGGAGGAAAAGTCCTGAGTGAAGAGCTGCTGGCCTCTGATGAAACAGCCACCAGGAAGAGCCACCCCCAAAGCTCAGGGCTGCTCTGAAGGGCAGGATTTGGGAGAGGCAATGCCAAAGATCCAAGCTGGGAAGCGTTGGGCTCAGTGGCGCCACTTTGTGGGTGTCCTCAGGAGGGTGTTAGGGACACACGCACTCCCGCTTTCCAGGCCCCAGGACAGGTGAGCTGGACACAGACAGGCTGAGCTTGGGTCTGGAGTGTCTTCTGCCTCACAAGGGGAGCGAGTGCCCAGAGAGGGCATTTGCTCCGGCGATGGTGCCATTCTCCTTTTTGCCCTTGAATGGCCCCATTTCCTCCTTCAACATCCAGTATTCAAAAGTGCTTCATTCAATTAAGTCACAAGCCTAAGATGAAGAGGAAGAACAGATTCTAGGGACACTTTCGAGTTTCATCCCCTAGAATCCTTCCGCGCCCCAAGGCTGGGACATTGAGGGGTCAGGTTTGGAGCTGGCCCTAAGTGCTGTGCTTTTCCCCACCCTCTGCAAAGCCAACACAATCCATTGTTATTGTAATGCCACATGGAGCACTGTTCATATTTGCTGCCACTAAAGACTTGTGTAAAATATCAAGCCTATGACGTAAGCATTGCCCACATTAGAATGCTTATCCAAATTGCACCTTGAGGAATGTTTAACAATGAACACCCATACGCTGGGTTTAAGCAGAAGAAAACAAGGTCCTGAGGAGCCTTTAGCTGAAGCCATGTCAGTGTGGACTGGGAGGTCGCCAGCACCAAGGAGATATGCACTCCCGGTCACCGTCATGCCTGGCACATGGCAGGACCTTCCCCAGGAAGAGCCTCAGAGTTGGAATGTGGGGATTGTCCTTCCCTTCTCATGCCACTTCCAGCCGGAAGCTGCCTCCTCTTCCTACAAGTTGCTCTGAACATAGAGCTGGCCTACTGGTGGTGGGGGAGGGCGTCTCCCTGACTAGCAGGTCACAGTGTCCCCTGAGTTGGGGGCGAGAGGGGTGACAGCAGAGGGCCAGCCTCTCCCACATCAAGGTCCTGGGGATCCAGATGGGCCCAAATGGAAGCATCAGATGGAAGCATCGGGAGCAAGCACAGTGTCAGTCAGAATGGGCCATTTTTACAGAAGAGGATCTGAGGCTCAGAGAGATTAAATCATTTGCCCGCAGCCACACAGGTAGATTCTGTTCTCTGATGGAGTCTCAACATGTCCATCATAAGGGAAAGGGTAATTTGAGAGGAAACCATCCTCATGAGAACACACTATGAAGCCCTTTAAAGACACTAACTTGATCCACCTGCACTGTCCTCTGGTGGCCGGAAAGCATCCCGGCCTCCCCTCCATGTCCCTGTTTGGACATTCTGGGTCCAGGCAGAATGTACGGGGAGTGCTGTCTTGATCATTGACCAAGTAGCTAAACACTTTGAGAAATGTATGTGTCTCTGTTAACAAAATCACAGTCTGTGATAAGAAGGGAAGGAAGACTTTTAAAAAGATGAGATAAAAATATAAATTAAAAAAGAAAAGACAAACCCCAGTAGTCAGTGTCTAAGCCCCAGGCATGTTTGGGTTTATTTCTTGGACTGGGCCTCACTTTGTGGCTCAGACTGGAGAGCAGTGATTCAGTCAGCTCACTTGGAATGTTCAAGTTCTTGGGCTGAAGCTGCCCTTCCACCCCTGCCTTCCAGGAAGCCAGGACTACGGCTGCACAGGCTCCTGGCTAGTTTTAAAATTCCTTTTAGAGATGGGGTCATGCTATGTTGCCCAGGCTGGTCTTAAACTCCTGGCCTTGGGCGGTGCCTGTGGCTCAAAGGAGTAGGGTGTGGCCCCCTATACCAGAGGTGGCGGGTTCAAACCCAGCCCGAGCCAAAAACTGCAAAAAAAAAAAAAAAAAATCCTGGCCTCAAGTGATCCTGCCAAAGTGGCAGGATTATAGACATGAACCATTGCCTCCTAGGCCTCGTCACATGTTTTGCTGTTTTGTTTTTTAATGTAGCTAACAGTGCAGGCTCAAATCTGGCCTCCAAGTATTAGCCTTGGGACTACCTGGGTTGCTCTGGGTAAGCACATCAACCTCCCAGCCTTCCTCTTCTCATCCGTAGAAGGGATGTAATTACAGCACCTCCAGAGAGTGCAGAAGGATGAGCGACATGCAGTTTGCTTGGGGCACATGAGCAGCTCAGAACACACCGCAGTGCCCCCAACCCCCTAAACACAACTCCCCAAAACCTACTTGCTCCAGGGCTTGGAAAGTGCTCACGGCATTGATCCAGGCTAAAACCGGGCCTTTGTTGTCTGTGGCTCCTCTTCCATAAAGTTTTCCTTTAAAAATGGGAGAAGAATTTTCAGAAAACCATGGTCACCTCTGCCAAGTTAAGTGAGTTAATAAACAAAGATGATGTTAGGAGTGCTAGTTTTAACAGTGCTTTCTGATCGTCCAAGCACAAGTCTTGCTATGAAGTTGCAGAGTATGATTTCTCCCATGCCCATGGTATGGTCATCATCTGGTCAGATAAAATCAGCTGATTTAAATAGACAGATTCCATCGGCCTTAACACACTGCTGGCTATTCACAAGTTACCCGGTAACATAGTTTCTGCATAAAATTGCCAGTCGACAATGTGTTGAGATGTTACAAACACTAAGTGATTCTACATTAGAAGCAGCTGAGAGATGAGGGGGGGGAAAGAATCAAATGGCGGAATTTGGGACAACTGGGAATTGAGACTGGAAGCCACGCACCAGGGATAGTCGCTATGGTAACACATTGTTGACCAGAAATTGGATGCAGAGACTACCCATGTTACTGAGTCACTCATGACCCATCAGCAAGGTGATACAGACATCAGCTGTCCTTTCCAAAGTTCATCAAAAGGACCCAAGGATTTCTCACAGAATGTCATGCATCATAGCCTCTCATTTTGAGATTTTACAACTAGCAGAATGGAAAAAAGATGTGTTTATCTTTATTAACCTTCCTTCTTATTTTCTTTATAAAATGTGAATGACATTTGGCATTCCTGAAAGGTAAAATGCATGACTTTCCCCTCACAATCCAGGAATACCCATCCAGGGGCAGAAAGGTTCACAGTTTCTCTCACAAGTGAAAGAAAAATCAGCCTCATTGCACCAATCAGTGGACTATGAGAACAGCATTTCTCTTCGTTCTTTGTTCTTTGTTCTTTTTTTTTTTTTGACAGAGTCTCACTCTGTCACCCCTGGCTAGAATACAGTGGCATTATTACAGCTCACTGCAACCTCCAACTCCTGGGCTCAAGCGATCCTCCTGCCTCAGCCTCCCTAGTAGTTGGGATTACAGGAGTGTGACACCACGCCTGACTAATTTTTCTATTTTTTGGTAGAGATGGGGTTTTGCTCTTGCTCAGACTGATCTTAAACTCCTGGCCTTAAGTGATCCACCTACCTCGACCCCCCAGAGTGCTAGGATTATAGATGTGAGCCACTGTGAGCCCTTGGCCCTCCCTCCATTCCTAACAATAGGACAAGACCTGGAGCCTGGACACACTGTCCTGTCCTCAATTCATAAGCTTGGAAGCAGGCCAGCCCCATCCCCGACAGACAAGGCGCCACCACACGGGCACCTCACTGACCATCCACCTCTGTCAATGTGTAAGGGTCTGTGAGCCACCCGTCCTCCCGGGCAGCAGGCTGCACATCTAGGTGGCCGTAGAAGCACACTGTGGCTTTCTTCGGGTCATTCCCCAGTTCAGCCAGGATGATGGGAGGAATTGGAAGGCTCTGACCATCAGGCAGCTGCAGAAAGATCATGGTCACAAAATGCCATACTGTCTTTCCAGGAAGTTCAGATGTGGCATTAGGAATCCTGTCCCCTCTGAGTCATTCCTGGGTCTTTAGAGAGCACTGTCTTCCTCTCTAAATAGAGTGTCAGGAGACACTACTTCTAACTAACATATAAAACATCATTAGAAGTAAAGTACTTCCTTAGATACGACTGACAGCAGAGTTAATTGTGCTCATCAATAAGAACTCAGATCTCAGCTGGCTTAAACTAGGAGGATAGAATCCTGGAGAGTCAGGCTGGTCCTGAGCTTAGTCAGGGCTGAGGTAGCCTGCACTGGAACTTTGATGACACTGTCCCTTCTGGTTCAGTGACAGCCATGGACGCAGTGCTTTCCATGGGCCCTTTGGGGAATCAAGGGAAAGGCCCGTCTGAGAGAGCTTTAAACCATGTGTGCAGGAATGAGCAGTGCTGGGGCTTCTGCAGTAAGCTGACACCCACCCACCCCGACTGGCTTCACGCTCCCAGCCCCCAGAGTCTGGGAGTGACTAGTCAGTGACACAGTCTCCTTTGAGACCAGGCATGATGTTCTATCCTCACGGGGAAGCAGGAGGTCGGGGTCTGGCTGGGGACCAGAGTAAGCCCTTCTCTTGCCACCACCAAAGGACAGCCTGTCTAATGTCCAAAGGTGGCTGCTCCTTGGGGTGAAGGGAGCCTGCCCAGTACCTGCTGAGAACCCAGGTCCACAGAGTCCACGCTGGCTCCCAGGCGCCGGAGCTTGTCTGCAGCCAGAGCCATCATTCTGAAGAGCTCCTGTCTGAACCGAGGCAGGGGTTGAACGGAGTCGCTCTCAATGGCCACCCATTCCTTAAGCGTCTAGGAAGAAAAGTAAGACAAGGATGAGCACCGTGGGGTCCCACAGCAACTCTGGGCAGGTGGTGGAGGGCAGGAGGCAAGGAGCACCCAGACACTCCTCAGCTGCTTAAGGACTGCCCAGACAGATGGCTGGAGGTTTAATCAAGAACTTGGAGGTCAGAGACACCTGGTCAGCACAGACAACTAGGCGGGGCGGGTTGGGGAAAGGGTCCTCTTGAAGACCTGGGCCTGTGTTCCCCCTGGGTCCACGAGGGTTACACAGAAAGGCAATTGTCCACTCGTTTTTTTTTTCTTTTACATATATATACTGTCATTGTTTGGGGTTTTTTTCATTTCAAATTAATATGAAGGTACACGTTTTTAGATTACATTGTTCTCACTTCCAAGTTAAAGTTCCAGTTGTAAGAGAGCCCCTCCCCCACTGTTTCTAATTATTAAGCACAGAGGGACAGCAGCTGGACTTCCAGCTGGGTGATGCTTTCTCTGGGGCTCCTGGGTTCCCACAAATGCCCCTGAGGGCTCCTGGCCATTACAGGTCACACCAATTTAACCCCACAGTGGCCTCAGCTGGGCTGCAGGCTCCCCTGACCTGCTCTGCACTTACACCTCTGGGCTGAGTGGGAGTGCAACTGGGCTTGAACTCAGCGCTGTGTGGGGACACCCTCGGTCCTGCTCCTGATCTGCTCATTACAGCTATGTGACCTGGAATGTATTCCTTAACCCCTCTTAGCTGAGTTTCCTCACCTTTACAAGAGAGTGGCACTCACTAACTATAGGGTTACGGTGAAATGAACTGAGATAATGTGTGTACACCACTTAGCACCGTGCTCGGCGCCCAGCAGATGTGTCTCCATGAATGCGGGCAGATACGGCGTCATGCACAGTCCCCTGTTGGAACCCGAGCTGCTCATAGGTATGGACTCTTCCTAACTCACTTGAGTTGGACCTCTCTACGCTGGTTGTGGTACTTTTATGTTTATTATAAAGGAATTTGTTTAACCTTAAGGAATATTGTGCTCTACAGAGCAGATGCTGCAGAATTCTCCCCAGGAATGGATTTGGGTCTGTTTGATGAAGTTAGAAAGAGGAGACATTTTGGCTGAAAGACCCCAATAGATGCTGGCCACTGTTATCTGAAATGACCATTACATACAGGACGCTGCTGGGGAGGCCCCGGCAGGGCCAGATGAGCCATGTGTCACCATCTGGACTTGTTTATTCACATACGAGACCTTCTGTTATAAAATTAGGAAACCGGATGCTCTCAAGACCATGGTGCCAGTCAAAGACTCTGTGTGTGAAGTGCACTTAGTAACGTACTCAGTAAAGTAGTGACTGTGAATTTGGTTCAGAATAAAAATGTTTTAAAAATATAACCACTTTAAGGAGATGTTGTGTGACTTTCTAACCTATGAGAAAGAATCTGTTTAATACATACTATGATGATTAATAACATTGCTGATACTTGCTTTTACTGTAAGAGTAAAAAAGTAACACAAAGAAAAAGGAGAAGCCGGTGCAGTGGCTCACGCACGTAATCCCAGCACTCTGGGAGGTTGAGGCATGTTCAAGATCAGCCTGAGCAGAAGTGATGTGTACTCCCAGCACTCTGGAAGGCTGAGGCAGGTCCAAGATCAGCCTGAACAGAAGCGAGACTCCCATCTCTACAAAAAATAGAAAAACTGAGGCAAGAGGATCGCTTGAGCCCAAATTGGAGGTTGCTGTGATCTATGACGCCACAGCACTCTACCCAAGGTGATAGCTTGAGACTCTGTCTCAAAAAAAAAAGAAAAGAAAAGAAAAGAAAGAAAGAAGAAGGAAGGAGAGAGGAAGAGCTCTTTGAAGGGATCTCCTTGCTGTTCTTTGGAATTGTTGACTTTCTGTAAATGAAAGCAAAATTGTTGATGTCTCATATGCTTCTCAGTTGATTGGCTTGAGTGACAAGTGATGGACCCTTTGGTCAAGCAGCATATTCAGCAGTCAGTCCCCAACATGCACCATTCCTCCACCCCCTACTAACTCTAGCCTATTCTCTTTCTTTTTTTTTTTTTTTTTTGAGACAGAGCCTCAAGCTGTCCCCCTGGGTAGAGTGCCGTGGCATTACAGCTCACAGCAACCTCCAACTCCTGGGCTCCAGCGAGTCTCCTGCCTCCGCCTCCCAAGTAGCTGGGATTACAGGCGCCCGCCACAACGCCCGGCTATTTTTTGGTTGCAGCCGTCATTGTTGTTTGGCGGGTCCGGGCTGGGGATTCGAACCCGCCACCTTAGGTGTATGTGGCTGGCGCCTTAGCCGGTTGCGCTATAGGCGCCGAGCCACTCTAGCCTATTCTATAAACTCCTCTCAGGTTTCAAAAATTCCTTACGTCAAGTTTTGTACCTTTAATGGGAAACACGAAGGTTTACATCTAATTGCTGGCACGATAATATTGCTAAGATTGGTCTGTTGATCCAATAGACATATATTAAATGCCCATGATGTGCCAGGCAGGGTGTGGGGGGCTCAGGATACAAAGCTCAGTGAGACCCCTGGGAGGCCCCCGGCTGGTGAGCACAAACTCCCCATCAGTGTGTGGTGGGACTTGTGGTGAGGACCAGATGCCCTGGAGGGGACAAGAGAGCTGAGTTGGGGGCAGTAGCTTCAAGAATGTGGAACGGTGAGCTCCTGCCCTCTCCCTCTCCCCCCTTCCCTCTCCCTCCCCCTGTCCTCCCCCTGTCCTCCCCCTGTCCTCCCCTCCACGTGCACAGGTGACTCACAAAGTGCTAAGGATTATGAAGGAGGAGAACAATGTCTCCACTGAACTCTACAGAGCTCCTTGGCTCCCAGCTCTGCCAAGACCTCACCGGAGCAGGCGGCAATGTTCACAGGTGACCTGACCGGCCGGAGTAGACACAGAGTTTGCTGATCTCAATGGACATCCCTGGAGCTAATGTGCTGGGAGTTCAGAGAGCACCTTCCTAGGCCGCGTGGCTGAAGGAGTCCCTTCATGCATCTAATGACTTGCTGATTTAAACCCCATTTCCAAGCAAATAATCATTTCCCAGATACGATACCCAGGGGCATGAGGTGAGCCCTGCATGTGCAGCTCCTCCTACCTGGACAAACTCGTCCTGATGGTCGTGGATGTGTTGGAAGACCTTCTCCAGCAGCTCCGCAGGCCGGGAGGCCGAGAACATCCCTCCCTCTAGCAACAGCAGCAGAGCCAGGACAGAGGAAGCCTGTGAATGGGTGACATGGGGAACAGTTTCAAATACACTCCAGTTTTTGGACTTTGTACCTTTTGCATACTTCAAACAAGGTTGTTATCCACTATAACTGCTTTAAGTCAGTCAAAACAAAATAACCCAAGGTGGTAGATCTGTAATGGAAATGGTTTTTCTGGGGCGGTACCTGTGGCTCAGTGAGTAGGGCCCTGGCCCCATATACTGAGGGTGGCGGGTTCGAACCCAACCCTGGCCAAACTGCAACAAAAAACAGCTGGGTGTTGTAGCAGGCGCCTTGTTGTCCCAGCTACTCAAGAGGCTGAGGCAAGAGAATTGCCTAAGCCCAAGAGCTGGAGGTTGCTGTGAACTGTGACATCACAGCACTTTGGTGACAAAGTGAGACTCTGTCTCTAAAAAAAAAAAAAGAAAGAAAGAAATGGTTTTTCTTTTGCTACTCCCCCCCCCCCAAAACCCTTCAGTTTCAATGCTAAAGAATCTTAATAAGACAGAAACCAGGTCTTTTCTTTTTTTTTTGGAACAGAGTCCTACTCAGTCACTGATACCGAAATTTCGCTCTTCAGTAGGTCCTTGGTCTTGGGGATTTGAAGAATGAACCCATGGACCACAGATCAGTGCTAAGATAGGAGTTTTATTAGACGTTAGAAAGAAAGGGCAGCACCTGTGACTCAAAAGAGTAGGGCGCCGGCCCTATATGCCAGAGGTGGTGGGTTCAAACTCAGCCCCGGCCAAAACAGCAAAAAAAAAAAAAAAAGTTAGAAAGGAATACAGAAGAAGTAAAAAGCACTAGAGCTTCCGGAAGGGGGAAAGAACTGAAGGAACTCCCTTGGGAGTCTTGAGTGGGCTCTTTCATCTAGGGGTCTACACAGTCTAGAGGATCCCTCCAGGCCGGCAGTTGGTAAATAATGAGTACATTAGCAAATGAATGAATGAAGTTCCTCCTCCCCTAGGGCAAGGTTATCAGGTCCTTTACCGGCTTTGTCCCTGAGAAGAGATTAGGGTGTGTGCTCCTACCCAAAAAACCATCACAGGCTGCTTTGTTCATGATCTTATCAGAGCCCAGAGGGTGTGTCCCGAAAAAGGCCTCTGCTTGTACCTGGAAATGGGGGTCTGACCTCTGATCTCACCTGGGCCTAGAGAATGGGGGTCTCCCTGTCTAGCCCTGAGTGGTGGAATCCTGTGTCATCACCATGGGTAGAGTGCTGTCACGTCCTAGCTTACAGTAACTGCCAACTCTTCAGCTCATGGGATCCTCCTGCCTCAATCTCCCAAGTAGCTGGGACTACAGGTGCCCACCACAATACCTGGCTAGGTTTTCTGCTATTTTTAGGTCTTGATTTTGCTCAGGCTGATCTTGAACTCCTGAGCTTAAGCAATCCACCCACCTTGGCCTCCCAGAGTGCTGGGATTACACGCACGAGCCACTGTGCCCAGCTGAAACCAAGTCTTTTTTTTTTTTTTTGCGGAGACAAAGTCTCACTCTATTGCCCTGGGTAGAGTACTGTTGCATCACAGCTCACAGCAACTTCTAGCTCTTGGGCTTAGGCAATTCTCTTGCCTCAGCCTCCCGAGTAGCTGGGAGTATGTGGCTATTTTTTTGGTGCAGTTTGGCCGGGGCCGGGTATGAACCCCCCACCCTCGGTATATGGGGCCGGTGCCCTACTCACTGAGCCACAGGTGCCGCCCTTAAACCAAGTCTTTAACGCACTTCCGTTTTGTCCTTGGATGCTAAATGTCCTGGACCACTCGGGCCAGGGCATCCCAGGTGTGCAGGGCATTGTTTGGAAGAGAGAAATGTGAGGTGAAACCAGAAGCGAACACAGAAAGAGTCTCTGAGGGATTAACCCCTTTATCAGGAAAGGCCATCTGTGAGGAACACGTGTGCAGTGTGTGGGGTTTCTTTCCACCAGCTCTTGAAATGTGAGTACTTTTAAAAGAAATAAGGAAACAGAAACTTGCACACTACGCTGTGACAGATGACCAAGTGACCGAAAAGTATCTGGAGCCCCTGGTGACGTCTAGCACCGGCTAGGCCCCGCCCCTCTCCGCGCTCCCTGCCACCTCGCTGGCCACCCCGGGCTGTCTGTGACAGTCCTGCGGCCCTGTCCCCTCCTCCTCGCTCTTCCTCTGACCCCAGGCCTGTACAGGGCACAGTGTCACCTCCCCATACCTGGGGTAACTCTCTGTCCCCTGGACCAGTGAGGAGGTGCCAATAATGACACTGCAGCAAACTAAGCAAGAGACTCCGCCTGGGAGACACCAGACCTGGCGACCAGGGACGTGAAAGTTTACAGGGACAGGAAGTAGGCTGGGGCAGGGGGGCAGACAGGAGCCATGTTCTAAAACTGATTGTGGTACTACTGTGAATGTACTAAAAATCGTTGAATTGCACACTTTAAATGATATTGCAATAAAGTCATTATAAAAATGATGGTCACAAATATCACCACTTATTCGACAATAGAAATGTACATGGTTGAGTATGAGAAGGATGAACAGGAAGGTGAGTAGGAGTTAAAATCCAGGCCAACTCCAGCGCATTAAGAACTTGTCCAGCAGGTGGCGCAGGAGAGCTGCCGGCGCTCTCCCTCCAGCCCGGACACCGCAGGTGCAGCTGGGCCCTGGCTGCGTGTGGGTCAGACTCCCTTGGCGCGGGGACTGAGCTCAGGGTGCCCAGGTAGGCGTCAGTGCAGGCTCTTAGCAACTGGCCAATCAAGATTAACATTGAAGCTTTAATTTTTCCTTCAGAAGATGTCCATTAAGAAAATTATTTGGGGCTCGGCGCCT